GTCGGGGGGGAAAATGCGCCGGGGGGGGGGGGGAAAGATCAAAAGTCGGGGAGGGGAGTTTGCGAGGGAGCGGGATCGAAGTCGTGACGACGACGACGAAGAAGAAGGAGAAGAAGAAGAAGAAGAAGAGGAGGAAGAAGATAAGGAGAAGAAAAACTTATCTGCGCGGAGGTAGCAACGACGATGACAAGGATGGCACGGTGTGGCGACGAGGACGACGGACACGACGATGGCAACGTGGCACGACGACGACGATCGTGACGGTGACGATGATGACGTGGCATGATGACGACGATCGCGACGGTGATGATGATGACGTGGCACGACGACGACAATCGCGACGATGATGATGTCGTGGCACGGCCACGACCAACGCGACGATGCTGCTGACGACGTGGCACGATGGCGATGGTCTCGATGATGACGATGATGACGTGGCGACGACGATCTCGACGATGAAGATGATGACGTGGCATGCGACGTGAAGATGATGACGTGGCATGCGACGACGGTGACGATGAAGCCGGGTGGGTCGGGCGGGTTCGAACCGCTCCGATACCAGTGTGACGGGGCTGAGGCAACGAGGCTGGGAGAGAGAGGGAGAGAGTGAGAGCACACACACACACTCACTCAACTCGACGCAGACTCGACACGACTCGACGGACGCAGACACGAAGTGGCAAAGTCGCAAAGTCTTGGATTTCAGAACACAATGTCGAAGCCAGTCACACTGAGTACGAGTACAACAGAAAACTGGTACGAGAGTGGTCCCCGTACCGTACGGGGAGCCGGTATAATTATCGATGACACGTACGGTACCAGGGGCATTTCTGCAAGGGCCCCGAGGGCAGAACTGAAAAATGCGATATTTGAAAGTGGCGCCCGAATTGCAGCATGGCGCTAGTTGTCCAAAATCCTACCGTACCAAAGGAGGGGTTTGGAAAAAGGGTGCCAGGCCGAAAACGGGATGCAGACGAAACAGCAAAAAGATAGACCAGGGATCGAGCCCTGGCGGAGTCCGTAACAGATAGGGCCATAGTTGAGGGCTCTGACGAAGGCTGAACTAGCTCTACCAACAATCCACACAGATCTGACAGCC